TCAGCACAAAATAAATGCAAATACAAGTAAAAAATAAAAGTTATTAACCCACACCAAAATATGATAGCAAAATTACTAGATCTGTACATACAAAAGTTATTGAAAATATGAATACTAACATTTTATAGGCATTGAAATGACAGGTGGTTTTCCTTTTCTTTGTGTTCCTGTAAAAACATACAATAAAATCTCTGCAGAAATGCTCCCTACAATAATATGAGTTGGGATATAACATGTTTAACTTTTGATGTCAGCCCTCTACTGAACCTCAGTTCTCAAACAGGGACAGATCAAGTTCTACTGCAGGGAGGAAGGGTCACAGGGAGTGGAAAGAAAGGTCAGCAGGCAAATCTCTCTAGGAAAGCAGAGATGTGGAAGTGGGGTCCTCACATCTCTGGTGAACTTGTAGGTGGGTCAATGAAAGAGGCACCAACTAATCAGGATGTTCAAAGAATGGTGGCTGCTCTCCAGAAAGTTGAGCCAGACATAGGATCCTGAATCATCACCATGGAGATGAAAGCCAGACGGGACACTGCCACTAAAGGATGCCAAAGTAGAACCAGGACCTAAGACAGTTCCTGTGGAGGGACCCTGGAATTCCAAGCCACCTAGTTACACAGACTTGTTCTGGCCACGTCATTAATGTCACAATAATCCAATCTCTCATTTCTAATGATTGAATATTTTGGAGATTGCTTATGACATTATGGCAAGATTTTATTTGGTTTCATTTATAATCAAAATAAAATGAATATTAAGAACACACATTAAGTTAATAGTTAAGAAAAAATTCCAACCACTTGGAAATTTAAAAGTACTCTCCTAAATAACTATGGATATAAATTTTACATTTTTATGTAGTTAAAAGCAATTTAAAATATATTTTAAAAAATCAAAACACTGTGTATCCAAACTTAAAGAACAGGTGCAAAGCTACATTTAAAGGGAAATCCATAGTAGTAAATATTTTTGTTACAAAGAAAAAGAGGAAAATCAGTAAATGAAGCATTCATCTCAAGACATGACAGTGGAAAAAAAAGAAGGATATTTTAAAAGATAAACATAACACAAAGGAAACAGAACATGGAGTTACATCAGAATTGAGAAATAAATCCGAGAGATGGTTGTTTGGGAAAACAAAAATCAATGATACACGTCGACAAAGTTTATTAGAGAGGGAAAGAATCCATTGTGATGGGGTCATATTTTGAAAATTATTAGTATGTTTTTCTCTGTTGTCTTTCTGGTTTTGGCATGACTTTTCCCTCGTTATTTTGAAGCATCTTTGGGGGGAGTATAAAGAGATAAAGAGTTTCTTGAAAGAACGCAAAGAGAAAGAATAAGGTCATATTCAGCTTAGGCAGGCAAAATAGGATTTGCTACAACCCCAAGAAAAGATTTTCCAGATTCCTTCCATTTTCCCTCTCCAGCATATTAACTGCCTCACCCGGAAGACCCACCTTCTGGAACTTTCCCCTTTTTCTTCACTCCCAGTCTCCACAGTTTACTCATAAGGCTTAGGTGTGAGCCAGGCCTGTAGGTTTGAGCCAGGGAAACAAAGAAAATATGAGGCAGGGAAAGCCTGCACAATTCCAGCCAAGAGCAAAGACAGAAAGAAGAGAAAGAAAGGAAAATCAGAGCTTTGGCTTAAAGAGAGAAAGGTGAGGGTAACGAAAAGGGTAGATGGGGGCTTTGACTCCTCCCCAACTCAGGACTCTGAAAATACATCACCTTCTTGGGCAGCCTTCCACCCTGAAACTTACTTAGACTAGGGTCCCATCCACGGCGCCTGAACCAACCTTGGTCCTTGTGTGTTTTGATGGGGCCCAGAAATAGTGGGGAGACTGGCTGTGAAGCTAGCCAGCCAGAGCTGGGTGAGACAGCATTGTGGCAAATGCTGCAAGAGGGCAACCCAGGACAGGACAGAGAATCTTCACCAGGTCTCTGAAAAGTAACATCCATGGGAGCTCAGGTGAGGCCAAGACAGTGGTGGGTAGCAGCAGGTGGAATGCCTGAGGAAAAAGAATGAACTGCAAACCACAGCTTTCCTAACTGGCTGTCAACAAGGTACTCAGCCAACCAACAGACCCTGGAGGGTTGAGGAGTCAAAGGATACCATGATCATGAACTCCATCTCTTAACTCTCCATCTCTCTGCCGCCACACCATCTAAGCCCCTGTCCCCCTTGTATCTGGTTATCATCTTAAAGTAAGGAGAGATGGTGGAAACAACCTGAAAGCCTGGGCATTTGCTCCCAGAGAATAAACATTACCAGAAAGAGCTGTTTATTTTGGCACATCTGACTAAGCTGGACACACACATCATCTTGCCTAGTACCTGTGATAGACTATATACACAGCAGGGAGGTTAAGTGTGTGGGATTCTGGGTCCACGTGGCCTAGGTCTGACTCCTGGCTCCACAATCTGTCAACTCTGGGCAGTTTACTTCATCTCCCTGCACCTGAGTTTCCTCGGCTGTAAAATGAGGAAAGTAATAGTATCAACTGTTATTTTTTAAGGATTAAGGGATCTAATAAATGTACAGTCCTTAGATCAGTGCCCATAATAAGGATTCAGTAAGTACTGGCTCTCTGTCTTGCTTTTAGCATCACTGTCCCATTATTACCCATACCTATTACCTATGGCTGGGGCTCTTGAGAAAAGATCAGATCAGCTACAGAAAAATCAAGAAATTATCATTTCTCCACACAACCAAGTACTATAGATTAACATCTGTACTCTTGCCACATAAATAATCAATCATACATGATAAAGAAATAGATCAAAAGACAGGTTTTTAAAAATACAACAGAATGGTACAAATTTTGAAATCTTAATAAAATGGACCACATTCTGAAAAAATATGAATTACCTATATTAGCTCGAGAAGTAGGCCAAGTAGAAAAGAAGTACGCCAAAAGAAGCTGAAAAATTGATCAAAGAATTACCTCCAAGAAAGGCCTATGTCCGGATAATTTAATTAGTGTATTCTTTCAAACTTTTCCCAAGGGACAACCCCAGAATGCATAACCACGGTACCAGGACGTGCAAAAAGATGGACTGCTCCCCAGTTCATTGGAAAATTACTACCTATAATACACAACCCTGCATAAAATAAAACTATAGGCCAATATTTTTCTTTAAAGCTTTGTTACTCCAGGATTTCTTAGTGCCTCTCATATGCTGTGAAATTTCAATAGGAGGTTTGCAGGAAGCAATGTTGTGCACATCAAGATTTCTTTCTGGCTCCCCCAGACCTTTCTCCTGATCAGGCAGTAACTGCATCAGAGCAGCAGCCAGAAGATTCAGATGATCCAAGAGCCAAGCATACACAGAAAGATACATAGAGGAAAAGGGATCCACAAGAGCAGGAAAGTGACAGTATACTATTACAAAATAGCAAAAATAAGAGCCATGCTGAGGCTCAAAGCAGTACATTCTGCTGGTGAAAATGTAAATTGATTCAAATCATCTAGGAAGCAATTGGCCAGATGTATTTAGAAACTTGCGAGTACCTACTCTTTGACCTAATAATCCAACTTGTGTGAATCCATCCCAGAGAATTTAAAATGAAGATAAAGATGTCCATACAAGGATGGACTTCATAGAATTATTAATAGCAAACAGAATAGGAAACAATCTAAATATCTAAAAATAAAAACAGCTAAGCAGATTATGGTGCATTCATAGGATGAATTATGCAACAAATAAAAGCAATATTTGAGAGGAAAAAATTTAATGACATATATGTCTGCTTTTTTTAGGGAAAAAAGGCAGAACAAAATACAATCTTAAGGGTATTTTTTAAAATATATGTACATAGGAAAAACTACTGGAAGAATATAGACCAAAACCTTAATATGATCTCTGGGCGATGGGTCTCAAGTCATTGACTA